GCGCCCCGCGTCGCCCCGCGGGCCTCACTTGCACTGGCCGTCCGTGCCCTGGCAGTCGAAGCCGTCGAAGAGGCAGCCGGCCGAGCTGCACTGGCTGTCGCAGCGGCCGTTGCTGAAGTACTTCCAGCACTCCAGCGACTGCGTGCAGTTCTGCCACGGGTCGTTGAAGTTGAGGGAGCAGTCGCCGCCGTCCCAGCCGCACGCGTGGTTGTTGCACCGCAGGCTGCACACCTTGTTGCCGGCCTCCGCTTGGCACTCGGGCAGCTCGCACGCCTCCTCGATCTGCGGCGGAGTGATGTCCAGCCCCACGCCCCCCCGGAAGCTGTAGTCCAGGATGTGGCACAGGAGCCCGTTGAACTTGGCGGGGCACAGGCAGCGGTAGAACGGGCTCTCGGACGTGGGCTCGCAGGTGCCCTGGTTGTAGCAGGGGTTGCTGTCCACGCAGGGGCTGCCGGCCGGGAACTGGCACTCGCGGCCGGTGAAGGCGCTCCGGCACAGGCAGGTGGGGCTGCGCGGGCCCGAGGTGCAGGTGCCGCCGTTCAGGCACCGCAGGCTGCCGCAGGTGCGTGCGTCGTTCTCGCACGTGGCGCCTTCGAAGCCCTGCCGGGAGAGGGCAGCCTGGGGGGTCAGGGCAGGCTGGCTACCCAGACACCCCAGGACCCGGCCGGGGCCCTGAGGCGCCGCCACAGCCCCCACCGGGAGAGGGATCGGCAGCTGCCCCATTTATAGAGATACCCTGCCAACCGGGAAAGCTCGGGGGTCGCCAGGGGCTGGCAGGGGTGGGGGAGGGGCACAGGCGGCGCACAGGGCGTTTTACGGGCTCTGAATAATTTCACGTGATACTGGAACAGTGACATGTCACACCATGTGCTGTCAGAACCCCAAGAAGGCACAACACTAGGAAGTGCCCCAAGAACTCGTGGACTTGATAACAACGTGTCGACCTTGGCTCAACAGTAACCAAGTGAACAGTAGCAACTTAGCGCAAAGTTGAGACGCTTACAGCTGGAGCCTGGGGACGTGGGGTGCTGGGAGGGCACGTGACAACGCTCCACTTCCTAAACAATCTTTCTATAAACCTAAAACTGCTCTAACTATAAAGTTTAGACACGACAGACATGATCTCGAGGAAAATGAGGATGGCGGAGTTCTCCGGCCGGCACATGTACAGGTGGCCTTCTGCTGCCACCTTCAGACCAAGGAGCCCTCGTGGGCCGCACGGGGCTCGGGGGTGAGGCAGCCGCCACTCAGCCGTGCCCCAGCAGCTGAACCTACCTCCGGGCATTTGCAGATGAACCCGCGGGCCGTGTTGGAGGCCACGGCGCAGGTGCCCCCATTCTGGCATGGCTTCCCTTTGCAGCCGTTGATGACCGATTCGCAGCGGCGCCCTGGGGGCCAGAGGGCTGGGCATGAAGGGCTCGCCCCGCTGCCCCAGGGTCCCACCCGCCTCAGCCCGCCGCACCCACCGGTGTGGCCGGCACGACACTCGCAGTGGAAGTCATTGACGCGCTGCACGCAGTTCTGGGTGCCGCGGGCGTCACAGGGGTTGGACAGGCACTCGTTGACATCGCCCTCACAGCGCTCGCCCACGAAGCCGGGCAGGCAGGTGCAGCTGTAGCCGCCCACCTGGTCCACGCAGGTGCCGTTGTTGAAGCACTTGGGGCCCCGGGACACGGGGTCGATGGGGGGGCTGCAGTCGTCCACGTCTACCTCACAGTGCACGCCTGCAGGGGCCATGCTCCATCAGGGACCCGTGCGGGCCACACGCGGGCCCCCGCGCCCTCCAGGTGCCCTGACGGATGCTCATGAAAAGCAGGGGACCGGCACAGGGTGCTGCCGGCGGCCTGGCCAGGCTCCCTCCATTAGCCTGGCACCTGCATCGCAGCCAGGTCCAGGGTGTCTCTGGCCGGCCACAGGGTGCCTGAGTGCCTGCTCTGCCCAGACCCTCCTCTGGGTGTGGCACCCTTACCCTGAGTGCCCCGGGGACAGGAACACTTGTACGTGTTGGTGAGGTCGATGCAGGTGCCCCCATTCTGGCACGGGTGGGACAGGCACTCGTTGATCTCCTCGGAGCAGTTCACCCCATGGTAGCCGGCCACGCACTGTGCGGGGAGACAGATGGGGGGGTGCTGTGGCTCGGTGGGGAGCCAGGGCATGGCCCCCCACTCTGTGCAGGCTGCTGGGCCCCACAAGCTGCCTTCTCGCCTGCTGGAGTCTTGGGCCAACCCAGAGCGAGACTCCTGTCCAGCTGAGCCTGGGAAACTAAGAGTCACTGCCCAGAGCAGGGCCCAGACCCTGTCCCAAGGGATAGAGATGGGGACCTTGGTGTGGGTGTCAGATGAGCCTGAAGAGAAAACCCTGGGGGAGGGGGAACTTTGTCCCACTGTTCAGTGTATTCTTCTATTTCTAGGCTCCCCCTCCCACATGAGATGCCCCCTCCAGGCAGTCTTCCCTGATTACCTCCTTTAAGGTCCTCCCTTAACGGAATTAAAGAGTGTCCGCATCTGGGGGGCTCACTAGTCCCTCCTGCACTGGCTCCCAGCCCAGGGCCCGGCACTCGAGGACACACACCGGACGCCCTCATGCGGGATGGGCCCCCACCTTGCAGGAGTAGCCGCCGGGGTAGTCCGTGCAGGTGGCGCCGTTGTGGCAGGGGTTGGGTGAGCACTCATCCACCTGGTCCTCGCAGTAGCTGCCGGTGTAGCCCGCCTGGCAGCGGCAGTGGTGCGTGCTGCCTGCGTCCATGCAGAGGCCCCCGTTCCGGCACAGGCTAGTCACGTCGATGCCTGTGGGGACGTGGGAGCAGGGAGCATGAGGCCTGGGTGCTCCCCCTGGGGCACGGGCTAGGACCTCACACGGCAAGTGCCCGGCGGGCGCCAGGGACGCCGGGCCAGGAGAGGACAGTCACCTTGCTGCCATGCGGCCACCTCACAGGAAACACTGGGCACGTCGCAGTAGAGGCCGGTCCAGCCGCTGTGGCACTCGCAGCGGTACTGGGTGTTGGTCTGCCAGCACTTGCCACCGTTCTTGCAAGGCGAGGAGTCACACCAGCGCACGAGGTTCTGGTGACGGCAGGGGTCAGCGGGCTCACGCCCCACCCAGGCCGGCTCCCAACCGGGCCCCACCCCGCCACAGAACCTCCCCCCCACAGAAGTGGAAACTGAGGCCCATGGGCTCCCTGCTGCTCGGGAGCAGGTGGGGGCGGGGGCCGGGGCCTCTCTGTCTTTCCCTTGGACCCTCGGCAAATCCAGACCACTGGCGGCCCTTCCGTGAAGGAAAACTTTTTTTCAGAAGTAAATCATTTTTTTGGAATTTTTTTGTAACTAACGTTTCATGTGAAAAACTTTAACGAAGATCAGTCTTTAATACTTTTACAGACTTTCCAAAAAAAAAACACTGGCTTTTAACAGTCTTCTCTCAAATGAACTAGTCCGCAAACCTCTGCTCCCCAAGCTGGATGGCCACCCCACCCACTGCCTGATTCTCCAGGCGGCAGCACGGGCCAGGGCTGGGACGAGGCTGCAATCCAGACCCCCAGACACATGTGACCACGGTCCCCCACCCCGCACTCTGGGCCTGGCTCTCCTCTGGGCAGATCGAGCGGGCCTGGCAGGGAGGTGCCACGGGGTGGTACCAGCGCCACCTCGGCCACCTCCCGCCGGGCACCCCGCGGCCTGCGCACTCACTTGGCAGTTGAGGCCGGTGTAGCCCTGCGGGCAGCTGCACTTGTACGTGCCATAGCTATCCTGGCAGGTGCCACCGTGCAGGCAGGGACGCGAGTCACACTCGTTGACGTCGTGCTGGCAGTAGCTGCCCGTGAAGCCCGGTGGACACAGGCAGGTAAAGGAGTTGATGCCGTCCACACAGGTGCCACCATTGAAGCAGGAGCTGGAGGCGGGTGGGCGGCAGGGAGCAGGGTGACTTGGGCACGGGACCCTGCCCGAGCAGTCACCTCTATGCTGGCATCTCCCCTCAGTCCCAAGGGGCCTGACAGCCAGAACAGTGACCTCGGGGAGGCCAATGGGAGCCCCAGCAGGCCCCCAACACAGGGCCAGGGACCTCAGAATCTCAAACCACATCACACCCCCTCCATCTTCCTCGTCACTCATCCTGAGATGAACATTTCACACACAGATTAAGGTACAAACGAGAAAGAAATCATGACCTGCATAGATAGCATGACAGACGACCACGTCAGAAAACAAGAACGACAATGACATTTAGTGCCGAGCTTCCTGGCAGCCAAGAGGAAAAAGGGAACAAGATGAGCCACAAAGTTCTCCTTGTCTGAAAGGAGGAAGACCAGTTCTTCAGGGTCAGCGACCAGGGTTCCTGGCCCGCACCCTGGATGGTGGACAATGGCCCTTTCACAAGGCATACTGACAACGAACACTGTCTGGCTCAACTCAACCAGCACTGTGTGGCCGGGTGGACGTCTGGTTAGCGCACCAGGCTGCCAGGCAGGCACTGTGCCTGGCTCCCATGGCCCGCTTCCCTCCCCCTCGGCCCCGGTTCTGCACCCCGACGCACAGCGCCCCACCCCGCCCGTGGGCCGGCCCCCCACCTCTCCGTGCAGTCGGGCGTGTTGTTCTCGCAATGGATCCCGCTGAAGCCTGTGGGGCAGGTGCAGGTGTAGCTGGCCACACAGTCGGTGCAGTTGGCGCCGTTGTGGCAGGGGTTGCTGGCACACTCGTCGATGTCCTCCTCACAGAAGGTGCCCTGGAAGCCAGGCAGGCAGCCGCAGAAGGCCATGTTGACACCGTCTGTGCAGGAGCCACCGTTGTGGCATGGGTCTGGGAGGGGACAGGAGAACAGGCCTGAGGGGCGGGCAGGGTGGGGGCCAAAGGGCCCTCCTGCTGGGTCGTGACAAGGGCTGACAAGAGCCACGTCCAGGGAAGAGCTCCTGGAATCGGGCTGGGAGGTGCCAGGTGGGCTTGAAGCCGGGCAGTCTGCTCTGGAGCCTTCTGGGACCCCCCGGACGCGCCTCGCTTGGCCCGCAGAAGGCCCGCAGTGACACTCCGTGAGCAGCTGCCACCTCCTCAGCACTTCCTCTGGCATCTAACCGGGGCCCCGTCCTGGCCGCACCAAGCTGGACTGAGCTGGGCCCCCCTGGGCGTGATGGCTGGCACCACCAGGGCCACCCTCCCATCTGACCTGACCCCAACACGCTCCCCGCCCTGTGCCCTTGGGGGAAACAGGCGTGAGAACATCCAGGGGCCAGGGCGGGCCAGGCCACTCACTGGGCCGGCAGTCGTCGATGTCCGTCTCGCAGGTGCGCCCCGTGTAGCCCGCCGGGCAGTGGCAGCGGTAGCCGCCGTTGGTGTTCTGGCAGGAGGCTCCGTTGCGGCACGGGCTCTTCACACACTCGTTGATGTCGACCTCGCAGGTCTGCCCTGGGGGAGGAGTAAGGGGGCCACCGGCTCAGCCCGTCCCCCCAGGCCTCCTGCACCCCGTCCACCCAGGAGTGGGCCTCCTCCGCCCCGGGAAGAAAGCGAGGCTTTCCGACCCGCTGCCCCTGGTTCTGGGCCAAGCAAGTTACAGAAACTCAGGGCGGAAAAGGCAGGGTGGCGTCCTGCCTCTGGAGCGCCCTCTGCAGCCCAATCATTCAGAGGAGGCTCACTCACTCCTACCCTGGGGCCGCCTGAGCCCCGGACCCCCCTCCGTCTCCCACCCGCTCCCGGAGGGGTGGCCGGAGCCAGGGCTGCAGGGAGCAGCTGGCCTCACCCTGCCAGCCCGGGGGGCAGACGCAGGAAAAGCTCTCATAGTCCTCAGACGCCTTGCACGCGCCACCGTTCCTGCAGGGGCCAGGGGCACATGGGGCCAGCACCACCTCACACGTGGCTCCTGAGGGAAGGACAGGAGGTGAGGCCCAGGGGAATGGCCACCCAGGAGCACCTGGCGGCACCAGCTGGCAGCGCCTCCCCTGCACCACGGGGCCTCGGCCGCACGTCTTCCGCGTCTCGTGGGGGCAGGGGGCCTGCACTGCGTGGAGGCCTGAGACATAATCCTGGGGGCGCCTGTGTCACAGGCAGGAAGCATTCGTCACAGGAGGCCACGGCGCGAAGGCTGCGCCACCAGGAGACCAGCCCTCCGCTTTGCTAGGGGCGGTGCCAACCTCAGCCCCAAGCACATCCTATTACTGGGGGAGCAGCGGCTGCATGGGAACCTCCGGGACAAGGCAGGGAGCCTGGCCAGAGCCATGAGCACGCCGGGCAGCGTTTTCTCTGTGAAAGCCCAGAGTCTTCCTGTTTATGGCCGTGGGGCCGACTCCCGAGGAACGTTATCTTCCTCCTCGCCCGCTATCTCCCCTGGCCTGCCCACCCGATTTTCCAGGGCCTTTCTTTCTTTCGGTTTCCACGGTGACCTGGGCAGGCAGGAAATTCGCCAGAGTTTCCGACAATTGTGTGAAGGGAAGCAGGAAGCAGGCAGAAGGGAAGCAGGTCAGCACAGGCCGGCTCCACCCCGCCAGGTCCTCCGGCCTCCGACATCACTGTGCCTGAAAGGGACTCGGGCGCGTGGGGGCGCGGAGGCCCCCCGGAGGTATCCTCGCCGATGCGGGAGAGGAAACCCAGGTCCCCAGCTTTGGTCAAAGAGGCTGCTGCTCTGGCCACAGGCTGCCCGCTGTCACGGGGACCACAAGCAAGGCCCCCTCCACTGCCCGCTCGGTCAGGCAGGCCCTCTCGGGAACCCCAGCACCCACACCAACCCCAGGGTGGCACCCTCGGCCCACCCCCCACGGAGCCCTGTGCATTGTGTGTCTCTTCTGGGGAAAGGCCATGTCCTACGCCCCCTTGGCTGTGACAACAGCAGAGGCTGGGCCGCCCAGGGCAATGTCTCTCGCCTCTGCCC